TTGTTTAGAATACAAATTCAGTACTGAGATTTGTTTGATTATTTTTTATAATTTCTCTTTGTTGATGTTCTCATTTTATTTCACATACTGTTTTCCTGATTTTGTTTAGTTGTCTATCAATGTTCTCTTACAGTACACTTAAGACTCTTAAAGATAATTATTTGAATTATTTGTCAGGTAATTCATAGATCTCCATTCCTTTGGGGCTGTTTTAGGAGGTTTAATCATTTGGTTAGGCTGCAATTCCCTTTTTCTTTGTGTGTCTTGTTATTTTTATGGGCTTGTGGTTTTCTGGGAAAAAAAAAAAGATAACCACCACCTCTCTCAGTCTTTCCAGACTGGATTCGCACAAGGGAAGACCTCCACCAATCAGCCCAACTAGAGTTTCAGGGGATCCCTCTAACCTTTTCCAAGAAGGTGTCTCCTTTATATTTGTGCATTTAATTTACAAATTATAGAGCTTCACTTTTTATTTTTCAAGAGCTTATAATCTTTCGCTCCCTCTGGTGTACACAGGTAGTACTGCAGTTTCACTGGCACTGCAACAAGCAGCTGAGCTTTTCATGATCCCCAAGCATCCAAAGTATTCCAGTTTCCAGTCAATGCTACAAGTCAGACAAGAAAGAAAACAGTCCTCTGGCAGCCCCCAGAAGAGCCAGAATGTTAGATGCACATTCCACTCTTCTTTTTCTCCCAAGGGAGAGGCCATAGCTGGTCACTTTCTGCCCATCTTACTGAGCTGGTCCAGCCTCCAGAAGCAGCATGGTTAGTTCTTTGGTGCTACAACAAATCACTGAGCTTTCTTTGTCCGCTGTGGCCCCAAGGTATCCACAGCATGCTGGCTCCCCAGTGGTGCTCTGAGTCAGCTGAAACAGAAACCAGCTCTGTGGACAGTTCCCTGAAGAGCTGAAATGTCGGATGTGTGTTCCAATCCTCTAGTTCCTTTCAGAGAGGAGTTGTAACCTGGGCTTTTCCTTAAGTCCTGATCATGTGTGCCAGCGGGGGAAGTGGTTATCACTGTGGATACGACAAGGTTTTTCTTACCCATTTCAATGTGGATGTTCTTGACTTGGAATTTGTCTGCAGCTTGGTGACTTCTTAACTTTCTAAGTTCTCAAGATGGCTGTTTTGCCCACATACTATTTTTTTTTTTTCCAGTACACATTTTGCTTTTATTTATTTATTTATTTTATTATTAGTTGTTCAAAACATTACCACATACTATTTTTAAGCTGATATCTCTGTGGGAGAATGAGACCTGGGCTTCCTATTCTGTCATTTTTTTAATGTCATTCCTGAATAATTTCTTTAATGTTTACTATCCATTGAGTTTTTCCTCTTTGGTAATGATCTGCTTATGTTCCTTACCCATTTCCAGAGCAGAGTATCTGCCTTTTATAACTGGTTTGTGGGAGTCCTTCCACATTTTGCATACTAACTTTTTTATCAGTTTTATAAGTTGCAAACAGCTTCCAAGTCTGTGATTGGTTATTTCCAGGTGTTAACAGTGTTTTATTATTATTGTTGTTATTATTATTTTGTTTATTCCTAGTTGATTTTTAAAAAATTTTTAACTATATGACATTTGGGGAGTCTGGTGTAGAGAGTGTATACACACTGATCTTATCCATTTTTAAGTTCCCTTTAAATTTTTTCAAATTATATTATTCAAAAGATAAATTATTCAACATAATCGAAGTCATTACCTGACATGTAAATAAGTGCGTCTAAATATTCTTCTTGCTCCCTAGAGATTCTCATTTTTTAAGCATACATCATAATATTACAAAATTGATCTATTTTAAGTGTACTGTTCAATGATGTTAATATATTTCCTCAGTTAGAAAATCATCAGCATCAGCATCATCTAGCTTTAGAACATTCCCATCACCTTAGAAAGCTCCTGAGTGTTCATTTGTAGGAATTCCTTCCCCTTCTGTTCCTTCCCCAAGCCCAAACAACCAATTTCTTTTCTGTGTCTATATCTGCCTATTCTGAATATTTCCTACAAATTGATTCATAATATCTCTGGACTTTTGTGAGTGAATTCGTTCACTCAGAATCTTTCTGAGGCTCATCCACATTGCAGCCTGGGTCAGTTCCTTCTTGCTGAGGAAAATTCTTCTATGTATGGAAATACCAGCTCTGTTTAACCCTTCATGAGTAGAGGGATATCTGGGTTGCTCCCACTTTTTGTCTGCTATCAGTAATGCTATGAACATTCATATAGAGCATGTGGGTGCTTCTCAGCTATTTGTATTTTGCCCATTTTAAATTGAGTTATTGTCTTATTGCTGACTTCTTCATATATTCTAGACATGGAGGCCTAAGCAGATATGTGTGACTTGAAGTATTTTCTTAGTCTGTGATTTGTCTTTTCATTTTTTATAAGATGGTAAACAGATTTTTTTGGGGGCGGGTGGTGCTGGAGATTGAACCCAGGGCGTTGTGCATGGTAGATAAGGGCTCTACCACTGAGTGATATCCCCAGCTCCATAAAATTTGTTTATCCATTCACTTGTTGATGGTGCTTTGGATTGGTTCTGATTCAGAACTATTTCAAGTGAAGCAGCTATGAACATTCTCACACAAGCATTAGTGAGTGTCTGTGTGTTCACTGGTTATGAGAAAAGACACAACATTGGACTGCCAAGTTGCCCGGCAAGTTATGCTTCACCCTAGTCAGTTGTCACAAGTGGTGTACCATTCACATTCCCGTGAGCTGTGGAGAGGAGGTGCACATCTTGGGCAACACAGGCGAGGGCTTTACACTTTAGTCATCTGAGGGACTATGAGGTGGCATCTCATCTGATTTTTTTTTCTTGTTTAATTTTTTACTGTGGTAAAACATATAACAACAGTTACTATTTAGCTATTTATAAGGGGTAATAATTCATTGACATTAAATATAGAACATACAGCACTGTCTTCTCCTCACTACTATCTATACCCATTTGTAACATAAACTTTTAACACATTAAACAATAACTCCCTTTCTATCCTTCCTCCAGCCCTGGAAGCCTCTATTCTGCTTTCTGTCTCTAATGAATGTGCCTATTCTAGGATCTCATGTAAGTGAAATTAAACACTATTTGTCCTGTGTCTGGCTTCTTTCACTAAGCAAGATGTTTTCAAGGTCTGCCCATGTTCTTGCACATATAAAAATTCTATTCCTTTTTATAGTTGAACAGTATTCCATTGTGTAGGATAGACTACATTTGCTTCTCCACTCAACTGATGATGGACATTTGGATTGTATCTACCTTTCAGCTACTGTGGCTAATGAACATTTGTATACAGAGGTCTGCTAGAGCTCCTGCTTTTGATTCTGGTATTGATTCAATGTTCAACATTTTGTGGAAGCACCAAACTGTTTGCACAGTAGCTGCATCCGCTTATATTCCAACTAGTAATGCACAGGGGCTCCAATTTCTTTTCAATCCTCACCAACACTTGTCTTCCACTTCTTTTTCTATTATTATTATGGTCATCCTACAAGGCGTACAGTGGTATTTCACTTGCATTTCCCTAATGGTTAGTGACATTGAGTGTCCTTCCATGAGCTCATTATTCAAGTCCTCTACTTTATCCTTGTTTGTATTTTTTGTTTTGCTTTGCTTTTTTTGTTGTTGTTGTTGCTGTTTGTGGTGTGCTGGGGATCAAAATCAGAGCTGCCAGAGCACCTAGGCTTCACTACTGAACAACATCCTCAGCCTCTGCCCATTTTTGAACTGGATTTTTTGTTACTGTTGAAGAGTTTATTACATATTCTAGATACCAATTCCTTGTTTAGAGATATTATCTGCAAAAGTGTTCATTCAATTCAGTTCGGTAGGCTAACTTTTGCTTCCTGGTAGGGTTCTTTGAATCACAGAAGTAAGTTTTATGTATTTATTTGTTTGCTTATTTATTATGCTGCAGATCAAATCCAGAGCCTTGTGCATGTCAGGAAAGAACTCTAGTACTGAGCAAAAATATATTCCCAGCAAAAAGTTAATTTTAATAAAGTCCTATTTGTATATTTTTTCTTTGTTGCATATATTTTTGTGTCATATCTAAAAAATCATTGCCAAGGGCTGGGGTTGTAGCTCAGTGGCAGAGCACTTGCCTCTCAAGCATGAGGTACTGGGTTCAATCCTCAGCACCACATAAAAAAATAAAGATATTGTGCCCATCTACAACTAAAAAAAAAAATTTAAAAAATCATTGCCAAATCCAATGTCATGAGATTTTTTCCAATTTTTCCTTCTAAGAATTTCATAGTTTACTTTAAGGGTTAGATGCAAGGAATTCCTAAAGGCTGAAGGCAAAGACCATTTCTGATAAAGTTTCATTTGGCAATAGCTTTATAGACAGACAGACAGACGGACACACACACACAGTCCCTCAGACCCTAGATTTTCTTAATGACTGTTAAAAATTAAATGCTCACCAATGAAAACAATTTTGTATTATTTTACAAAGCAAAGAAACGTATAAAGATGATTAATTGCTTTTTAATTTGTTTGAATCTATTTGATTTGTTTAGTCTAGATTTTAGAATATTATGTTTCTTAGAATAGGTCATATGTGCACATCAAAGATCTGTTGCCTTATAAATACCCCATGTGCGTGCTCGCGCACACACGCACACTCTCAAGGTGGCAGGGCAGGGGACGAGCAAGGCTCGCAGAGCGCACACTTGCATTGCACAGGATCTCCTCTGACATGATGAGCAACCCCAGGGTGAGCTCAGTCTCCTTTTCCTTTTCGTGTCCCTGACTATACACATAGGGATTTTCACCTAATGGGTCCACATGTATAAATACATTTATTTACTGTCCTATGAGAGTTAAGGAAATACTAATGGAAAAAAAAAGGTAAAAACCTCACCAATTGGCCACACAGGATATGCCCATAACTACGAACACGCATGTCCTCTGATTTGGAGGCGTTTTCTCTTATAACTGAACTGATATATTTTGAAATCTGAGAAGAGGAACACTTAGCTGAACACCTACCGTCTTTGAGTGTTCGATCCATTAAGATGATCCTCCCTGAGCTCAGACACTAATGATGCCACCATCTGTAAGACACAACCAGTTGCAGGTGAGCACCTGCTGCAAACAGGGTCACATCAGTCTTGGTATGAGTGACATTTCCACTGCAGTCCCTTAGCCCCTGCCCTCTGCCCTCCTTTCCTTGTATTTTCCTCAGGCAGGGTGAGAAGGAGGCAGTGCTAAGGCACATTTACCCATAAGTGGGTCCAACACGTCTTATTCTGCATTCCTACCTAGCAGTGAGCAACAATTTATTAATTTCCTAAAAATTACAAACAAAATCAATAAAAACTAAAAACATGCTTCAGTTCATTCACTTCTTTCTGAATTTTCTTTATTTAAAAAAATTCTTGGGGCTGGGGTTATAGCTCAGTGGTTGAGTGCTTGCCTCACATATGTGAGGAACTGGGTTCGATCTTCAGCACCATATAAAATAGATAAATAAATAAACATTCTTTTCATGTATTAAACTTTCAAAAGGGCAAAATGACTAACAAACATTAAATATCTCAAAGTATTTTGAGAAGAGTTCTGTCAAGGCCATATATTTAAATTTCTTGAATATGGTTAAAATTAAAGGCAGAAGAAAACACTACTTCGTTGCTAAGATGTAATATTTAACACTGTGTACTAGGTTACTTAGTGCATTTTCTACTTTCCTTTACCATAAAATTCTAATCAGTTTATTTTAAATAAAAGATTTGTTCAAGAGCACACGGTTGTGTTTATACTGGTTAAGGAATGCTCTTCCCCCAGAGAGGCTGATTGCTTGATTTACTAAAACCTTTCCTGGTTTCCTTCTTCTTCTCATAAGCTTCCTTCTCACAGTTCTTCCTTACATGGCCTTAAGTCCGCCCAAGGTAAGAAGATATAAACAAAGGAAGGTTAAACAACTCTCCTGGAGGAGTGAAGTATTTCCACTTACCCACCCCCCCCCTTTTTTTTTTAATATTTCAATACTAATAAATTTAACATACTCACATTTTTAAGCAAACCAGGATAGTAATCCGCAGGCTCGTACCCAAGACACTGAGTGAAAGGGCCAACTTCTTTTACATCAAATCTGAATGCTGAAAGTATATGCAATAACAAACCCTAAAAACCAAACAGAAAGAGGAAGAGTTGACTTCTTAGAAGTAGACAAAAGGCCTGTGAAGTATGCCCAGAGTCCGAGTCTTCTTATGGGATGGTCCCGATAACACCAGCAATTCCCCTCTGTGTAAATACCCAGCTCGCTTTGATTCAAGGAGAAAAGAAAACATGTTGATATTAAAATCATAACACTGATATAAAGGAGGTCAGAGGTGCAAGTGGATTGAAGAGGGAAGAGGGGGAGGAAAGGAGTGTACTGGGGAATGAGACTGATAAAACTTTGTGTTATGGCATGAAAGAATATGGCAAATGAATATGAATATTATGTATAATTATAATGTACCAGTGAAATATAGTAAAAAGATGAGTTGTTCTAAATAGAAATAAAACTTGTTTTTCAGAAGACAATATGAGCACAAACTAGAAAAAAACACGAAAGAGTAATAAAATTAATGTACAAAACCTGAAACGACAAACAGTAAAAACAAACAAAGATGAACATGAACAGATAACTTTTAAGAAAAACTACAAATGTCTGCGAAACAAACAGATAAATGTTCATTTTCATAGTAAAAAGGAGCAAACTAGGGGCAGGATTTATAGATCAGTGGTAGAATGCTTGCCTAGCAAGTATGAGGCCCTGGGTTTGATCCTCAGCACCACATAAAAATAATAATAAAATAAAGGTATTATGTCCATCTACAACTAATAATATTCTTTTAAATTGATTTTTTTAAAGAGTAAACTAGAACACACACACACCAGTTCCCACTTTAGTGAATTAAAGCTTTCTGCAGATTTGAACACGTAAAGCTTCTGGGTTCTACACAACAGGAGCCCTGGGAGCTACTGGGGAACACACGTGGGGACTTCTACTTATGCCAAGGTACCCCTGGAGTGTGAGCAGGTGCACCAGAGCCTGCAGGCCACCTGGACTTCAGGACAGTGCCTGATCGGAGTGTGCCACCTGCACAGGACTCCTTGTAGCTAACAGGCAGTGCTCTGTGCAATCAGCTTGAAACCAGGCACCACCTGCTTTGAGAGCGTCCCACACCTCTGATGCACGTAGATACCCCTAAGGAAATAGATCTAAACATGACAGTGGGAATCATGTTCAAAGACATTTGGACCGGTATTGTCATCATGGAAAACGTCTAACAGCAGGGGACAGTTCATTTGTAACACCTTTATACAATGGCTCATTGCAAGCCATTAAAATATTTATGAAGAATGTAGGAGAGCATTTTAAATGCTTACATTATAGAACTAAATGAAGAAAGGAAAAATAATCCATACTTAAAAATTAAAAACAACAACAAACAAACATACAAAAAAAAAAACCCAGAAGGAAATATCACCAAAGGTAACGGTCTGCAGGGTGGAGCTATGATGGGGAGTTGGTTACGTGTGCATATATAATCTTGCCCCCCTTCAACTTGTGTTTTCCAGCTTCCTGTACGTGTGTATGTATGTATGAATATATATATATATATATTCCTTTTATAATCAGGAAAAAAATTAAAAAGTGTTTTATTTGGAAATATTTAACAACAGTTTTATTGAAATAAACTCCTTATATTTTTTGTTGTTGTTTTCTGGAGACAGTTTTAATGAAATAAAATAACCCCCAGGTCCCATGGGGGACCTGGCCCAGAACCCGGTGAGTCTCTGTGTAGACCAGACTATGGTGCTTGCCAAGAGCCCAGACCTGCCTGGGATCCTGCACACCAAGCTCCAGGTGACACTCCTGAGTCCCTGTCCGAGATCAGCACAATGTTTTCCAATTAGAAAAGCATCTAGTTATCTAGGTTAACAAGAGCTTGGAAACACCAGCACTCAGCAAAGGAATTCGTGTCTAAGCAGCCACTACAGACCAGCAACACACACAGCAGGCTCCTTAAAAAATGAACTTGACTGGGGTGGGAAAGGTGGGGAACTTACGAGGTGAAGGTGAACTTGTGTTTTTTTGGTTGTCAATGGCCCTTTTACTATGTGATTTGTATGCATGTATGTATTGTGCTAAGGATCGAACCCAGGGCCTCACACATGCCAGGCAGGCATCCTATCACTGAGCCACAGCTCGGCCCTGAAGGTGAACATTTTAAAAGGTGTAATTCTAAGGCTCCTTATGAGAGTGAGGAAAAGCTGCATGGGCCCCCGTGCAGAATGTTCTTTTCTTCTTCCAGTCAAATCTGTCCTGAGTACAGAAAGTAAGAGCTGCCAGGCAGTGGGGTGGGGACAGAGGTGTGTGGCTCAGGTCCACAGGGGGAGAGCAGCTGCTCTCACTCCCCTAAGGCACTCACAGTGGGGGGTGGGCTCAACCACACAGGGACATCAGTGTTCTCAGCAAGTGAGCAGGGGGGCCAGGCAGTCTGGGCAAGGGAAAGCCCTGCTGCACATCAGACCCACGGCAGGAGTGGGGGGTCAAGGCAGGCTCGGTCTGGACACTAGGCGGGTGCAGTCAGGTTCTTGAAGGAGGGGAGTCCCCTACCCGGTAGAGGGAAGGTAATGCTGGAAGCCCCCTGCTGCCAGACCCTGTGTTCTCTTTAATAAAGCACAACACTTCCTGTGTGCCAGGAGTGTTCAAAGAGCTTTACACACTGAGACTGGTCCTCACAGAGTCTGCCTGGCAGATGAGAAACGAGGAGCTTGAGTATCCTGCCGGCAGCTAGGTACCTACTCTCTGGCCAAACCTCACAAGGAAGTGCCGGTCCCCGCGCTCTCCAAGGCAGCTGGGGGAATTTTAACATCGCCAATCTGACTGGTCTCTGAATGAGACTCTGATGGTTCCCATTCTCTTACCACAAGTCCAGGTATCATCCCAAATCCAGAGGCCAGGCCCCACTGGCTCTGCAGCAACCCTTCCTGCCACCTGCCTGTCCTCCCTCTACCAGCTGGTTTGCCACCCCAAAGGACCACAGCCTCTGTAACCTCTCAGGACGTTTGTCCTACTCCTTCTGCCTGCAGGGCTTTCCTATCTCCTCCACCTGGTTAAATGTCACTTTTTGAAGGAATTCTAACAATTGTGACAACTAAAATTTGTTGAGTGCTTACCATGTGTGAGGCCCTGGGCTAAATTCCTTAACTATGGCATCTCACCCAAGTTTTCGGTTTTTTAATCAAATTCCATTAAGCAAAGTTTCAATTAAGCCACTCATAAACAGGTGGCTATGACTACAATATTTCATATGAGTGACCCTTAAAAAAATTGAAGCATAAGGTAATATAGACCCAGGTATACAACAGAAGGAAACCAGTTTCAAGGGAGAAGCAGCTATGAGACTATAATTCTTAAGCAAAATAAGGCCCAGGCTTAACCCAGTGCCTCCCGCTGCACTCCTGCCCTACATGAAAGATGACTTCCAACATCACCTGAGTACCACAGGAAAGTTTAAACACAAAGAAGTCTAATGCACTGGCCAGATTCTGAGTGTGCAATCAGCACCTGTGATCAATTCCTAAGTAACATTTAAAATGGCCACAGTCTCCAGCTACTATTTCCACACCTGCATTTCCACAAACTGAACACACAAAGTCTTAGAAAAATGACATTCCAAGACTGGCTGCGTGGAACCATGAGTGGCACTAAACCCTCAATGCACTGGGTGTTCTCCTACAAATACATATCCAGGGTGAAGTTTAACTTCCAATATGGCACACTAAGAGATCAACGACAGCTAGCAACAGAAAGGACAATTTGAATAATCTACTGTAACGGAGTTGCTAGCACCACTGTTCTTGTGCTTTGTGCCCATGACGAACACAAAGGGGCTGCGTGAACACAGCATGGGGACCAGGACAGGACACAACCAAGGTAGCTACAGGGGCACCAACAGCAGGTGGTGGATACAAGGGACAATCCGAGGCCCCAGGCAGGATGACATCAGAGTTTATCACACTACTCAGAATGGCACGCACTTTGGAACTTATGAATTGTTTTATAAACAATTTTTCATTGGAATTTTTCATTTCATATTTGTTTTATTATTTCTTCGCAATTTTTCATTTAATATTTTTGGACCACAGTTGCCTGTAGGGAAAAGAGATAGCAGAGAGAGAAATTGTGGATAATAGGGAAAGTAATATCATTTAATTGGCAGATCTCTTCTTAGGGCCTCACGACACTGGCTTTGAACTTGCTATCCTCCTGCCTTAGCCTCCCCAGTCACTGGGATTACCAGCTTTAAAAGTGATTTTTAAAAATCAAATGCTATAGAGGTTCACAGTCCCCAGCACCCACACACACACTACAGAGCTAGTTCCCAAACCTATTCATTCATTCATTCGTTTTTCCTTGTCCCATTTAAAAAAATAAATAAAACCTATACCACAAAACTCACTATTGGTGAGAAGACAGTAGGATGGGTATTCTGTTGCTGCTGAGAGCACAAATTTGTAAAGTTATGGGAAACCACTAGATAATATGTAGCTGCCATGGTTTTAATGTGTCCCCTCATGGATGCCCCAGTGTTGAGAGGTAGGATCTTTAAGAGGTGATTAGGTCATGCGGGTCATCAATGGATTAATGTTGTTATCTCAGGAGTAAGTCAGTGACTCAGGAGGCTGAGGCAGGAGGATCACAAGTTGGCGGCTGCCTCAATAACTTAGTGAGGCCCTAAGCAACTTAGTGAGACACTGTCACAAAAAATAAAAAGGCTGGGGTGTGGCTTGAAGGTGGGGTGTGGCTGGCTTGGGGGAGTGTGGCCTGGAGGTAGAATGCCACTGGGTTCAATTCCCAATACTGAAGAGGAAAAAAAAGAAGGTGGGCTGGAGAGTGTTTTCTGCCTGGCATATGTGGAGGCCCTGGGTTCCTGCTCCAGCACCAATAAGCAAGCAACTGACAAATAAATAAAAATAAAAATGATTAAGCATTTTAATAGCTAAGACTAGCTTTTTTACTGCCACCTAGTGACAATCAGTCTAAACACACAATCATTAAACAAGCATCTGGCCTTGGACAAAGAGAAATCCTGCAGTCATTTAAGCAGTTTCTTTTTTAAATG